TCACTAAAGATCTTCTAAATATCCGTGTAGAGTTTTAAAAATACTCTGGTCTATGCGCTAGAAAGAAAGAGTTTAATAATAGACGAAATCGTCGCGTAGAGATACGTAATAAGCTACTCTCTAAATACGGCCGAATAAATAATATAAGTCTCTTTAATTATAAGTATAGAGAGAGAGGCGTTCTCATTCCGCGCGGAGAATTCGTAAAGCTTCCTACTTAAACGTTAGTAAAATTCTTTAATAAATTAATTATTCTATACGGAGAGAATGTAACTATACTCTTAGACTAGTATTAATTCGCTCGGAAATACCCACTCTAGTACAACGTAACTTCTCTTCGGCTACTATAAGTCGCCTCGTATAAAATGATAGCCCGTCTAGCCCGAATTCGATAGAATCGATACTATAATGCTTCGCCGTATCTAGTTACGGAGAACATTTAGATCGTCCTCGACGGTAAAATATCTAACGATAATAGGCGAATCGCTAAGCGTAATCGTCCCGAGTGATTAGAGATACTTAGTCGATACGGATTTATAGAAGCGGCTAGGCTATACTAGGTAGGCGTTCTTTCTATAAACTATAATAATCTAATTATATCCGAAGAAAAATCTAGACTAGTAACATTACTTACTACGTAAAATTTAATCACTAGGAACGTTTTAGGCTCGGAAGTTCATCGACTCGTTACTCGTTCTAGTACTAGTAATCTCCCTACACCTCGAACTACGAATTTCGCCGACCTTATCGATTCTTCTAATACTTCCGTAAGACGTCTAAATACGCGGACTACCCGAGGCGGTCGAACTCCTATTTCTACGGCCTCTACTACGCCTACTCCTATTACTCTAATTTCTATACGATTATAGTAAAGCGTTCTTTCGATACGATCTAGTTTAACGGATATAGAACGAAGAAGTTTAATATAGCTTACGAAACCGGAAGAAGAACGCTTTATTCTTAGGAGTCGCGAATAAATAAATTAAATAAGAAATAATTTAATTAATATCTTAGGCGTTATAAAGAGATCGCGACTATAGACGGTGACCCCTAGTCTAGGCTTCGTAGCTCTAAGTCCCGGCTATAATCTAAGTGTAAAGAAGCCGAGAATTTTAGAACTCTTCTACGGAATCGAGATCGAATAGTAACTTATAAACTAAGGAATACGTATTACTAGTTCTTCCGGAGTCGTCCTATCACTATACTCTCTCGGAAGAGATACGCTCGATAACTTACCGAATTCGATTCCGAATTCTAGAAGCTCTATCGTATTCGCGTAATTAATGATTTAGAAGTATATAAGATAGACGAACTATGGAAGAGATGTACCCTTAGTTAGCCGTGAAGATATACAACGATACTACGAATTCGGAGCTAAAAAGATGATTAACGTATTAAGCTTACTTACTAGATATATATCTAGACGATATATATTCGCCTACCTATATATAGCCGAGAAAGAAATCGCCTTATACCTAGAAGAATTAAAAAGAATCGCTGCGCCTCATAAAGATTCTATGAAGAATCTCGAATAATTAATAAAATAGTGAAAAGAAAGGTTCGGAACGGTAAATTACTAGGTTTTACCTAGTCATTCCGACTATAAGGCTATCGATGTCTTAAGTAGTACTCTTCGGAGCGCTCTACTAAATTCTAAACATAACGGATGAGTTAATTAGTCTTTCATCGATGCGAGAATTATAGTAAGCCGGAAAGAATCATATATAAGATATACCATTATCTTAGGCGCCGCGTTCCTTTTCTAAATTAATTAATGTAGGAACGTAAACGCACCGATGAAATTTAAAGCCTAGGGAAACGTCGACGATAATATAAGACGACTCATTATCTTTAACGACGACTTAATAGATAAAGGGCACCATTAGCTAATCTTCATAGCCGATGGAACAACGTAGTCGTACTCGGTCATTAATTCGACATAAGGTAGATTAGATACGACTAAGATGGCACTCGATTTCTTCGTTCGATGATTAAAAGATAGCGTTTTTAGTATCCCACCCCGGGAAATACGCCTTAAATCTAATCTTCAGCAGAACACCAGTAGTTATGGGCTCTAGGTGATTAAGAATTCTCTAGCGATCATTAATACGGAAACTTACGAGACGGCTCGCTTATAAATGACCTTATCTAATACTTAAGTCGATATCGAGGATCGTTTCACTATCGCCCTAGAGATCTATAAGATGATTATACGTAAACCGAAGCGCAGTGAAGATTTAGGGGCGTTAAAGGGCTCGAGTCCGAAGGGATTAGATAAGAGATAATTAGATAACTTCGTAGAGCGTTTAAAGAATATAAAGAAGAATTAATATTTCCGAGAAGAATAGACGAAGATTACAGTTAAGTCTTGAGCGAGGTCGTTAAGGAAGCGAGCGATAATGGGAGGAATGTAATGAGAGAAGTTAGAAGTAGTGAACAGAGTTATGATTAGCTGGGGCGCCGACCCTAGACTATAATTCTTCTTATATAGTTCTAGGGAACTATCTTTCATAGATAATATAAGTAATTAAGTTATTAATAGAGAGAACTTCCCCTAGTTAAGTGTGCGCGTTAAGAAGAGACTATACTCACCGCCGTACGAGTTAATGTCCATGGCTAGTAGCCTCGCCCTAGTTCACTAGTAAAGGACGTAAGAAAAGATTAAGAGCTACTATAATTAGCACCGTAAGAATATAGAATTTATAGCGGGCGATCTAGTTATACTCTTAATAAAAAACATTAAGTTACGTAAAGCTAGTAAGAAACTCTCTAATAAGTATATAGGGCCTTTCCACGTTAAACAACGAATAGATAAAAATATCTATTAACTTACTTTATCTAAGCGTTATAAACGAATTTATTTAATATTTTACGTTTCACTTCTTTAGACTTATTATTAACGCTAAGGAACTCTTCTTTCTTTATCTATTAATGTAGATAAAGAGAAAGAGTTCGATGTAGAATAGATTCTAGACGCTTAAGAAAAGGAAGTAAGACGACGTTAGTTAGTTAAATGGCTAGGGTGAGGCTATAAACATAATACATAGGAATCTAGAAAATATTTCACCGGTGCCCTTATACGAAAAATAATTAGAGAGTTCGACGAAAAGTACGGCGTGCGTACTTAATGAGAAATATCTCTTATCTAAATCGAGTAGGGATATACTTAGTTTCACTATAAAGAGCTACTTATAACCTATATTACGTAAAGGCGATACCCTTATAGGTCGTTTTAGAAGTCCCGACCTATCTCTAAGAATAAGTATTGCTCTACTATTCATATATATTCTATATTTTAGGGAGGTCCCGACCTACCTCCTAAGAATAATATTGCCCTACTATTCACTTATATTCTATATGGCTCTAATGTTAGTACTATAAACGAGAAGAACGACGTCGTCTAGAGACATCGTTATTTTAGCGGCTATAGATCTAGAGACATTCTTAATTTATATACGCGACCTATATTTTAGGGCCGCGAAGAGTAGCTAACTATACGTCCGGTACTCTCTAGCGAGCGCGGACGGCGGTAACGAAAGAGAAGGAAGAGATAATAGCCTTCTTTAAGATCGACGAAGCCGGAGAAGAGGAGAGAGGAGAGGAGAAGTCACTAGAATAATTAGCACTCTAGTCTATTTCACTATTAGTAATTTCTTACTCGAATCGAGTGGGAAGGATAAGTATATCGAAACCCGAGCTAAAATTCTTCTCATCGTCATTAACGAAGATAGAAGGGGCCGGGAGAGAGGGAGCCACTATTCTAATTAGTATTATTTCTCCACCTCTTAATATCACTAATAAAAGATAAAAACGTTTATTAGAACGTCTAGTAAATACTAAATCTCCCTAAGATCGGAGAGATCGGTATCGCCGCTAACCTTATAAGTATAGTTAACTTTTCGAAATATAGACTTAAGTCTCTATACTTAGAACTTAAGCTATTCTCTAAAATAGATATTAGTAATTCATTATCTAAATCGGGTGAGAAACATCTATATCTAATCGGCTAAAATAGCCGAATCACTACTAGCAACGGAAATTACTCTCTCGATGAGAGCTTAGAGGGCACGATAACCTATCTATAGATTAACGGGGACCTAATTTATTTAGTATACCATTAATCTTAGCTAAATTCTCACTTACGGCAACGTAGCTAGCGCTAGACCGGGAATGAGAGTAAAACCTACACGACTTAGACTAAGTTTAGTCGCAGGGCAAGGTAGAAAAAACTGGCTCCGAGCTAGAAGTAGACGGAGGATCCGTAAAACCGCGGAAAGCGCTTCTTTCGTTAGTACGCTGTCATTATTCTAATATTATAGAACTCATAATTCTTATTAATAAGGCTGGCACTATAGCCTAACTAGGACTAAGTGTTTAGCTGAACTTCCTCGTACGTAAGAGACTATATATATATCAGTAGCGTCTCTTACTCGAGTGAGATAAGTAATACTTACATATCTTATAATTAATCTAAACGAGAAAGAAAGAGACGAAGAAAGCCATAGTAAAGGGCTTAAGAACCAAAGTAAAGGCTAAAGTGAATTAAATCTCACCCGCATTACTATAATAATATAAAACGGCTATCTCATCTAAATCGGGTGGGAATTTAATTACTTACTATTGTTAGTGAATGACTATTCAACTACTATATCATTGTCTTCGTCATTAATAATTAAGACGGCCTATCCATACGATGGATCAAGGCTGTCTTTATACTCGCAGCGACTCGAGGGCGAGCCGCTTTTTAGAGGGGGGGCAACTATCACGAACTCACCGTTATCCCTAAGTACTCTACGCCCTTCACCCGAATCGGGTGGACGATATAGAAAGAAAAGGAAAGAATAAGGTAAAGGACGGTTGAGGCACAAGGCTATCGATTAACGCTGCCTTACCCTTTTCACGTGACAGAAAGAGGGGAAGCTATAAGAGTCTCCTCTCACCTGAATCGGCTGAGAGAGAACTCTTCCTTTTTCTCAAGCGTTGAGTCGTTGTTAATAGGGCTACGTGAATAGAACAAGGCATTCAGCTACTCCAATTCCTTTGTACCTACTGCGTTGCGTAGGTCCCTGATAGATACGATGTCCAGCAATCATGAGGACAATGACCAGGCAGAAAGCCGCAAGGGACACAAAGGCCATCATGCCAAAGACCCAGCCGACGCCGACCTCGGCCTCCCAGCCATCGATAAAGAACGGAATCGCGATGCCAAAGACCGTCCTGTAGAAGTTCATGATCGTGGCGGCCTCCACGGGATACTTGGTGAAGCACTCGACCTCATAGTTGACAATGACGGGCACGGCCACGTTCGAGGAGAAATTGAGCAGGAAGTTACCCACGGCGGCGACCATGTAATGCAGGTGGTATTGCAGGGCGGCGCCAAACAGGCCCAAGCCGACGTTCAGACAGACGAATGTCGGGAACCACAGCGCATGGAGACGGAATTCGGGCTTCCAGATGCCACCAGTCCTTCGACAGATCCAGAGGGGGAGTCTGTCGTTGAAGGCGAGGCCATATAGTTGGCCAGTTATGCACCCGGTCCAGGCAGCGAAGGTGACTGTGCAAAGCATCAATCGGCAAAGCAAGGCTGAAAGGGGGGCTGAAGCGCTATTAAAAAGCTCACCCACATTCTGCATTCTGATTTGGGGTGAAACTATATCCCTTATCGCTCACGGGCGACTGTAAGAAGACCGCGAGCAAATTGTTGACCCCGACGCCCCTGTGAACATTCGCATCAGGATTTTGATATCCGTAGCTGGTCCGCCGGAAGAACTCACCATCCGAAAACGATCATCAAGAATAGCCCGCCTAGGATCCCGACAGGGTGGATTCCAATGCGGATAGGCACGGTAGCCAGGCGGAGCTAACAATATCGGCAACGACATCATATAAACGAATGCAGTGTACTAACCGCTTCCATATTCGTCATCCCTTCGGCCACGTTGGGCCTCCTAAACAGATAGACATCGATGGATCGTCGAATGAACGAGGTGGCAGACACGGGATACGCTGGCCTTCCAGGTCTCGTCCAGCCGGTTTCCTCCAGAAAGAAGAATATCAAGAGAATCACAAATCCTTCAAGTCCGACGTTGTACCAGTACTCATTGGCCCAAGGAGCGCCGTTGCCGACGATGAAGCCCGAGAAGGTCGGCCCTGCAAGCGTTCTGATATGCTAGGTTAGCAAAAAGAAGGATGCTCGTTAAAATTCTGCAATGTCGATATTCTTACCCAAGGAGGATCATCACATTGTAGAAAGCGAAGCATTTCCCACGCTGGTGCAAGAAGAAGGTATCAGTGATGTAGCTCGCACCGACTGGCCATTCACCTGTGTTAGCAGCAGTGCGAGCATTGACGACAGAATCAACAGTGCGAGCTTACCCGTCGTCGCGCAGGAGCCAGCTAAGCAGCCAAACAACCTGGACAGGACGAAGCTGTAGTAATCTCCAGGACCTGTGCATGTCGCCGCCCAAACAGTACAGGCGAGCGTGAGTGCTGTCGCCCATAGGATGCTGCCACCGCGGCCAATCCTTCTCGAGACAGGCGACCAGAAAAGAGGCCCTGCGCAGAGTCCGGCAGTGGCGGCAGAGACCTGATAAATGCGAGTCAGCAATACCGCCCAGACATCTGAACCTCCTATTTTGACAGGTATCTGCGTCTTACTGAATATGTGATCTCGACTGGAGTCTTGTTATACAACGCCCCTTGCTGGAATACACTCGACACGTTGCCCACAGCCTGAAGAGTCCCAGTGAAACCGGAGAATGAAACAATGAAAAGGGTCAGAATCTTCCTTCTCCTCGACCAGTTCTATCCAAAGACATGAGTCACCAGCATCAACGAGCAGAGGGGATTGGAAAGGAACAAAGGGCGTACCAGTGGATCGCGGGGGTCAGCTGAGGGCGCGGGGACAAGTGTGATACCAACACTGTTGTGCGCAGCCGTGACCTTGGAGCTCTCGTGGTGCTCGGCGAGCTCTTCTTTGGACATGCTGGATTTCTCTCCCTGAGCTTCACTATTCATTCTGTGATGATTTCGTTCACAAATAGAACTTTCTTCGCCGTCGAATGTTGAAAAGCGGCCTAGAAAAGCTTCTGATGGCAGGCACAGAATGCCCTCGTTATCTTTTTGATCTTCAGCGCCATGCCTCAGAAGAACCATGGAGCCAGTTGCACAGAGTCTCACTTTCGCAAAACTCCACAAGAAGAGCTAGTCGCGGTGTTTCACGGGATTCAGCATCGAGAATGCAATGTCCGGGGTTTTGACCTCCACTCATGTACATGGACGTTACATGGACGTAGCATGGCTCCCCATGGGGTGAGAGCAGTGACAGACTCCAAATTACTATCCACGAATCAAGCTACAGCCTCCACATAACCGCTTCGGGTAGGTTCGATCTTGCTGGGCTGTTGCAGGAGTATTACGGTCCCAAGAGTTACACCGAACACCGGGCGGCTCAACAGATATTATGTGACCATAGCGCCATCGGGACCCATGAAGCGACCGAGAAACGGTACCTGCATGGTCATGTTGGATGAGGACCGTATTGCCGGAATCCACACATCCAGGATCATAGGATCGCTTGGAAGGGTTCTAGGTTCTAGGAAAATGCTTGTCTGGCAAATTGTTGCATCCAAAACTCCCAGATCGATATCATTGAATCGTTGCTCGTATCCCCATTGCTTGCCCGGAGTGCTCGGAACATGTAGACGACCATTCCGAGGACAAACTCTTCAAGCTACACAGTCGAACAAGGCGGCAAGCACGCTGAGCGAGGTTTGCCCCTGATGCTCGGTGCAATTTGAGCATATCGGATTGCCAACTCCTGTTCCCGAGCGGTCAATGATGTTGAGTCAACTCCGATCAGCTTGTTCAAAGCCTGAGTGAGGTCTGGATACGTCAGATTTGGATACAAGCTCGAAGGGACTGAAAGACAAACCTAGCATAATCGACCCAATACCCCAGTGTCTGGCGAACTGTGCAATTCCAAGGTAGACAACATCGCGGTTCAGGCTGCTAAGAGCAGTAGAGCCCTCGGAGTTGGCCTGCAAAATATGCATAGCTGCGGGCCCAACCAACGAGCAGACAATGAACGGCGATGAGTAAGCAATGTAATCCGGTGACCAAGCCTTTATCGCCCTAACAACTTCATGTGCATGCCGGACGCATTTTTGGGAGGTGGCTCGATGTTCTTCTCCGCTAGCCGTCACGCTGGTCGGTGAGGCTGACGGCGACCGTGCGGTGTCTTCGTATGAAGAAATCGTGAGAGCTTCGTAGGTGCGTGCACTGACGTTGATTTGAGAATTAAGCATATTTCACGTCTTCAGCAATGCCCAGGAGAGATGGCATTGGCTCGCACGACTCACCTTTGCAGAATGATGTTCGTAGTTATGATCCAGTTGCTCCTCGCGAATGTCAGGTCGTTGAAAACAAAGATGTTCGGATTCAGTCGGAATTGGCTCGGCAAGTTCAAGCTGAAGCAAGTGAGAGCACTCCGTATCTCGGCCCTGGCTTGCGGAGAAACTATTCTCTGTGCTTTCAGATCGTATGCCAATGCCATCAGGAAGTTGGCAACGAGAAACCAAGCTCTTTCATCTTGGTTCGGCGAACCCTGCAGGCTCTTCCATGCGGTTGCTGGAGTAGGACCCATTGGTGCGGATGCGATCGGTTGCTCATTGAACCATCGCTCATCAGAGCACGGAAGCAGGACATGCATTTTATTTCGATCAATCGTGTACGGTCGCTGGGCCACGGTGGATGCAAAAGTGTCAAGTTCCCAGACTGACCACCAAACGCGTCGGAGTTCTTCTCGGGTGACCCATTCTTCTGGCGATGTCCACTGATTTTCGAACGAGTTAGGCTGTTCGCAGATATCCTCGTCGATAATATCGATTCCCAAATCGTACGCCAGTCGAATACAAACGCCTGTGAGTGTCCACCCGAATGAGTTGGAGGAATTTGTGTTGTGGTAGAAGGACAGGAGGATGCAACCTTGCAAGTACTGTAAGTTAGGAGAGAACCCGTCTCCCTGAAGCCGAGTTGCATCTGCATAGATAGACTGAGCTTCTTTAGCAAACTGTTCGCCACGGCAAGGCGGCGCAATATTAGCAAAGCTGGCCGCATTTGAAAAGCGAGCTGCTAGAGACATAATGCTGTTCATAATGAGAGCAGTTTCAAGAGATAAGAGTTGCCCGATCGCGTCTTCCCGTCTCCTGTGGAAGTACCGAGCATAGAATTGAGGTCGATGAAATATCGGTACGAAGCCGCTCACACGGTCGAAGAAGATATCGACCCTGCGGTCAATTAGTCCAATTCTGAGAACGAGACTGGGCATTCTAACAATTGTCTCACAAGTTTGCCCGGAACTGTCAAGGTGTACATTTTGGATTCAGACGTCTGAAGTAGGGGAGGTCCTGCAAATACCAGATTTGTCTCCGATGCTAATCGTCTTGTTTGATCCGCTTCTCTATTACGATCGACATCTCGCGGACTAAGTGAAGTTCCTAGCTGAGTCTCGAGGTTTGAATATTGCTCACTCAAGGGCGAAAAATGTTGCCTAGTAAAGTCGCCCTCGAGAAGAATTTCTGATAATGACGGGCTGAAGTTGTAGTGGAGGTTGTAATCAGCACCGAGCGGTGTGTTGAAAATTGATTTCTCGGTGCTTCTAGGATAAGCAATTTCCTCGGGGCCACCTAGAGACAATGGGCTGGAGATATTTGCAACCTGTTCCTGATAGCGACGAGCAGAGTTTGCGACGCTCCCATCATTCTCCGCCAATATGCTTTGTGGCTTTATCTTCGCGGGAGCGGTTTTCGTAGTATCTGCAAGGCCATCTACGGCATAACTCACATTTAGTCGCGTTCTTGACAAGACGTCCCCGACGGTCATACCGGATGACGCCTCTGGAAATCTCTCTGGACCAGTTTCCTTATGTCTTCTTCTCACGTAACGGTTCCCTTGGCCGCACCGCTCCGGTCGTTTTCTCTTGGTTGGGAAGATACATTGGCTGCCAACCCGTAGACACAATGTACAACTGGGCCGTCTCATGTCACCTGAAAGGGTCGCGATGCGTCAGAGTTGAGAAGAGAGGAAATGACAGAGCGCCCAAGAACGCAGTTTGACGAGGTGTAATTACTAGGCATCGCCAAAAAAAGGGAACCCACATTTAGTCTTCTTTCTATACAAACAAAGGCATTAGCTGTTGGAAGAGTCCTTATTCGGCTACTCCCAGCTCACCTTTTGCACTCCTCACAAGCCCGATGAGGCCATAGAGGGTATGGGGAATGAATTTGGGGGGTTGACTCTTCGAAAGTATGCTGTGCAATCAGAATATCACTCGTCGGGCCAGCATAGAATCCCTGCATGTCGAAAAAAATATTCCAGAATCAATTTTGAAGTTGAGTGTGGTAGTGTAGAGTAGTGAAAAGCGTGGGGGGAGAGCGGAATCTCGCATCGACAATCTCAAGAACCTCCTCATCTTGTTCAGAAGATGCCGAAGAAGGTGAGGACGCCAAATGAAGTGGTCGCTTACAGGGGAAAGTGCGGAGAAGGACATATCCCATTTGCTAAAAGGTGCTGCTATACGCATGTCCAAGCAGGAATGAAGTTCGCCTGAATCAGCCTAAGCATCGACAGCAAGCGGGGGCTGACCTTAAAGGGGCCTGGCGCCGACCCGGGCATGGCTTGTGCAACGAGCTAATTAGAACCTCCCTCCCGCCGCTCGAGATCCACCAGAGATGCCGATCTTCCCGCACCATGGGAAGCACTCAAATGAGGAGAACAGCAGGGAGGTGCAATAAGCGTGAGAAAACAAAAAATCGCAGAATTACTTGCACTGTTGCAGAGTTGGTGCGAAGTAATTCTGAAATCACGAGTTTCGTCGCGGAAACAATAGATGTACCCGGTATCAAAGGTCTATCACGTGACGAGGCTGCAAAGCCCGTTTCATCGTGGAGAAAAAGGGCGGGATGCTCGGTGGTCCAAAGGATTTAGGACAGATTGCGTGCAGGATGTACCATAGAGCAGTATATCCGATGCCCTTTCTATTTCTCTTGTTCCGAGAGCCACACTTCAAATGCTCGGTTAGTATCTGCCACGGAGTCGAAGCCCAACATCTTTCTTTGGTAATTCATATCGGCCCAACCCCACCTGGACGGCTTTTGCCAGTCCACTTCGCTCAGCTCTCTGTCTCGGGCTTCTTGTTCCGGCCCATCATGCATGTGATCTGCACAAAGTTCAACATCACGCTGTACACAAGAGTTTTGGGGAACCAAAACGCTACAAGATTCACGAGCACTTACACATATATCGGTTGGCCACGGCTCCTTTGACATTAACCGTTGTTCGCTTCTTCCGGAGCGACTCAAATAGTCGAAGAACAGAGTTTATGCACGCTCGTTTCTCTTGACCTGGGATTCTGTCGCTGGCTTGTAGTCGGCCTAGTAGAAGCCCCAGCACCAGGCCGTCCTCTGCGGCCATTGCAGCTCCCTGCGCCTGATAGGGAAGGGTTGGATGGGATGCATCCCCAATGAGCACAATATTGTCCTTGACCCAAGTGCGGAGCTCTGAATTGTTGTCAGTCTCGACCGTTATGACAGAGTAAACGAATGTTTGCGATAAACTGGCTGCAAAATTCCGAGACTGTTGCGGGATACATACCTTCATGATGACACAACTTCCACTTCAAGACACTGTTATGACATGATATGATTTTGGCAAGACTAAGTAAATGTCAGTAAAGCCCAGGGTGAGCCAGTGAAGGGCACCACCAACACAGGATCCCAGCCTTGATATGTCATTCGCATCTCACCAATGTCACCAGCTTCTGTTCTGGACCCCGGAGGCAGATTATCAGGGCGACTGTTACCGTCAGCAGATAATCTGTGTAGGATGGTTCCCACACTAACATGAGAACTAGATTGAAGGCAGTGCCATTTTTTACTGGATAGAAGACGCTGTGCCGGTCTGGTCCCATCCAGTTGTACGTGCAGCGTGAGTTGATGAGTTCTTCGATCTGTGGATCCTGAAACGCTTCTAGTTGCGCTCTAGAAAAAGTTCCGCGGTATGCAAGGTCCCCGGTGGGCTCTGGAGGAGAGGAATGCCCTAGAACTATGTCTCGGATCGCGGACCAGAGACCTTAGAGGGTGATTGTCAACATCCCAAACAGGATTTGAGGCGTTTCGCATACCATCTGCCCCGATTATTACATCTGCATGGACAATTTCACCCGTTTGGAGGACCACGTGTGGATTTTCCATGGAGGCTTTAATATCAACCGCTTCCGCGTTGAGTCGAAGTTTGGCCCCTAGTCGAACAGCCTCATCCAGGAGTACGCCATGATAGTCCGCCCGATGGATCACACTACAGATATTTCAGTAACATCATCTCAACCATGGATATTCGGTCCAACTTACAACCACGGACCATTGAAATCTCTGACCATCTTCTCCCCACCTATCCTGCTACAGAGGATCTTGCCATCTTTATAGCGCTTGAGGTGGTTTGCATTTATTTGAACGGCTCCAGCGTCCCGAAGCTTTTGCTCGAGTCCAAAATGTTGAACGACACGTGCTGCATTTGGCGGAATCTGAATGCCGGCACCTATCTGAATGACACTATCAGAAGTGTAGATAGAGAGCCCTGGACGCGCGTACCGGGGATATTTCTGGAGCTTTCTCCAAAATTGTCACTTCGCATCCTCCCCGTAGACACGATACTGCGGCGGCAAGGCCCCCTGGGACTCATGAGATAGGCACAAAGGTCAGGACGATGGTCTTACCAATGCCCGCTCCGACCACCACAACGTTGAATGGCTGCTGAGTCTGCCAGAACAGTCAGCTTATCCTAGGATTATAGCCCAGAGAGATGACACACTGCGTTCTGTTTTCTGTTCATTGTTTCGCAATTGCGCTCACAATATAGAGAGATAATGGCATGCACGAATATAGAGGACTGAGTTTTAATTTCTGCTCCGAAAAGCAGTGATGGATGGCAATGATATACGATTCTCAAAGGCCCACTTAGGGAAGAGGGCTGTAAGACCCGTGCTTATTTCTGGCGTTGAATTGTCCGTAATTACGTGCTCTCCACCCTGAAGGGCTTGTGGATGGTGTGTTTAGTCACCATAGTCATCAGCAGCTGGAAGTTGGTGTTTTGATGTGGGGAACGGCCATTAGCTCAACCTCGGAACGCCGTGACCAACATCCGACTCCCTGCCGTCCTGTCTGATATCTTCCGCATGCCATCACATCATGTGGATTGTAAAAGGTTTCACCGCGGTAGCCACAGCCTGTCAGCACGAGCTAAACATGATGAGAGCTTATTATATTCGGGACAGTTTCCATCATCGGGACTCGTGTTTGATTTCTGCGCCTCTCTGATTCGCCCTTCAATAGTGAGTTGTTGATGGATACCTTTGGGCTTTGTGATATTTACCACACCCTCATGCGCGGCACACTGGATACTGCCCATATTCCGGCCAGTCTGAATATAGGTCTCTGATAGGGAAACAATATCTGCCATGATGGCCACTGACGGAATTTGCCATAGTGAGCTTGGTTCTGAGACAAGATATGGATCTATTCAAGTGCTGACGCCTGCTTCAAGATATTTCGACTCCGGTTCTCATCATAGGCGCCGGTCCTGCCGGCGCCACGACCGCCCTGTTGCTCGGTCGCTATGGAATCCGGTCGGTCGTGATATCTCGCCATCGAGGCACAGCCAACACCCCAAGGGCGCATATTTTCAACCAGCGTGCAATGGAGGTGCTTCGCGATGCTGGAGTTGAAGACATCGCGAAGACAGTCGCGTCGACCAAGGAGCAAATCGCGCATGTGGCATGGTTACACACCCTCAATGGCGAGGAGTATGGCCGAGTCCACGCTTGGGGAACCAAACCAGATCGCATTGGAGAGTACCTTGTTGCAAGTCCATGTGAGATGTCTGACCTCCCGCAAAGCGTGCTTGAGCCCATCCTCGTTGAAGAAGCCACAAAGCTGGGAGTAGAGTTTCGATTCTCTACTGAGTTCCTTTCACAGATCCAACTTCCAGATGGACGGGTTGTAACATCAGTCCGCAATCGGATCACCTCCGAAACTTACAACATCACTGCTCAATATCTAGTTGGTGCTGACGGGGCAAGGAGTTCTGTCATCTCCAGTCTCGGAATACCCATTGATGGAAAGCAGCTGAGTAATGCATTTGGCGTCCACATCAAAGCAGATCTGAGCAAATATTTCACCCATCGTCCAGGATCTATGGCATGGATACTGGATCCGGACGCACCGGACTGGTCGTCTCATGGGTCCATTAGGATGGTAAGGCCGTGGAATGAATTCCTTGTTTCGATGCACAATGCGAAACAAGATGTCCACTACGAGCCTTGTGCAGAAGATGTTATTCGGCGATTGCACCAGATGATCGGCGACAGCTCGATCCGAATCGAGCTTTTGAGCTTTTCACGATGGACTATCAATGATCAAGTGGCCCGGACATGGCAGAAAGGTAACGTATTCTGCATCGGCGATGCTGTTCATCGGCATCCTCCAATCAATGGGCTCGGGTCAAACACTTGCATCAGCGATGCTTTCAATATTGCTTGGAAACTGGCGTACGTCCTGAGAGGTATAGCGGATCCTTCTATCCTTGAAAGCCTTACCCTCGAACGAAAGCCGGTTGGTGATGGGATTGTGAGGAGAGCTAATGATGGAATGCTGATTCACAGAAAGTTGTGGCAATTGATGGGCTCAACCAAGGAAGAGCGGGCAGTTGTGTCCGGGGCACTGCAAGCCGCAAGCGTCGAAGGCACGCGCCTGAGAAAGGAACTGCGCAGTATAATTGAGGAAACCGACGACGAATTCAATGCCTTGGGAATTCAGATGAATCAGATCTATTCGATGTCTCCGCTTCGCTTAGTCGAGGATAACGACAGTCCGCCCAATCTTCACGGAGTGAACTTGCTGAAGCAACAAGTAATCTCAACCTTTCCCGGCTTTCATCTACCGCACGCGTGGGTGGTGAAAGATGGCCAATCCGAGCGGGTATCTACACTAGACCTGGCTGGACACGGCCAGTTTGTTCTCTTCACAGGCGTTGGCGGTAAAGGCTGGTTACAGGCAGCACAGGACATCTCGCGGGAAGACGGGGTCCCTGTAAAAGGCTACGGAATAGGCAGAGGACTCGAATACTTTGATGCTTATTGGGATTGGGAGAAAGTCAGGGGCGTCGAAGAAGACGGAGCTATACTGGTGAGGCCGGACCATTTTGTCTGCTGGAGATGCAAACGTCTTGTCTCAGACCCCGCATCAAGGCTGAGAAAGGTGATGCATGTGCTTCTTTGTCCTCCGCAGTAGATCCCCATTTCAAACGACTTACGACCTCAAGTTAAATAGCGCACTGAGAGAAGCCAAATGAGTATATTCATCTTTGAAATCTGTTTGTAAACCTGGAGCGTCCCATCCTCGTGCCGGAAATTATTCCATCACAGCCCGCGCCATGTACGAGTTCCACGGTATCCGATCTCCTCTCCATCAAGCTCCAATGAAAGTGGGGAACCACCCCCGGGCCAGTGAGAATCTCAAGGACAGAGTGTAATAAGGACGGCGTTCGTCCAAAAAGGGGCGAATGCCGCGGCACCCCGTGGGGTAGTTAGACAAACCGCGCGGTCGCTGGAGTTTTGGCCATCCGCCGGATGTGCCGTGGATGTTCCGGGTCTTGGTAAGGAGTGAAGCCTGTACTGTAGTGTGCAGATCGCGGTATTGCTTCCGTCTGAGTGAGATGCCCTCCCCCATTGTGCGGGCTGTGCGTCTATCAACGTCTTCGATCTTCTTTGACAAGGCTGACAAATTTCCAGACTGAGGTTCTGTGTTGAAAGCGTTTGTATGTGAAGCATATCTACCAGCAACAACCGCTGTCAAAACCCTTCTGGAAGAACAGAGAGAACCGAACCGATTTTGGCACAATAGTATCGACAATTCATCCAGCAGGTACAACAGCAACAACATCAACAACAACAGCAACAACGAAGATATACGATGGCCATCGCCCTGGACGATGAGCGCGTCCGGCTCATCAAGACGGCCTTCGTGACTTATTACCACCAAGATGTGCACAAAGCCTCTAAGTTCCTGCTGGACTTTGGGTTCGAAGTGGCCGAGCAGCGAGACGACGAGGTCATATTCTTCAAGGGGTACGGACCAGACCCGTACTGTTATGTCGCGCGGCGCGCAGAGGACGGCGTAGCCAGGTTCGGCGGCGCGGCATACCTGGTTGAGTCGGAGGCGGAGCTCGAGAAGGCGAGTAAAATTCCCGGGGCATCGGCGATCAGCAAACTAGACGCGCCTGGAGGAGGAAGCATCATAACGTTGACCGACCCCATCGGGCATCTGGTGCACTTGGTGCACGGGATCCGCGAGAAGTCCAGCGAGACCGCGGCGGAGAAGAACCTGCAGAAGCTGGTGGTCAACTACGGCGACGAGAAGCGCAGAGTGGGCAAGTTCCAGCGCTTCCAGATGGGCCCGGCGCCTGTGCACAAATGGGGCCATTACGGCGTGAGCTATCCGCCGGGCAAGTACCAGGACATGGTTGACTGGTACACGGGCCACTTGTCCCTGGCATTTAGCGATAAAGTGACTATCGGGGGCAAGGAGGCCGTGTCTTTCTTCCACATCGACCGCGGCCTCGAGTATACTGACCACCACTCCTTCTACATCAAGCCGACGCGGGGCGGCGGCGAGAAGCCCGACGTCGCGCACAGTGCCTTTGAAGTTCACGACTACGACGTCCAACAACTTGCGCACAACTACCTCGAGTCCAAGGGCTACAAGTTGTCGTGGGGTGTCGGCAGGCATGTGCTCGGCAGTCAAATCTTTGATTACTGGTATGATGAATCTGGGTTCGAGCTAGAGCATTACGCGGATGGAGACTTGGTGAATTGCGAGACCGAGGTGACTGTGCAGGAGAATGGGCCGCACACAATGTATGTTTGGGGACCGCCTAGACCAGCGGCACGAGGATAAGGACAGAACACATTCTCACAATCAATCCTGCCCGGTGGCGGGCTGTCGTTTCATTCCTGCCGAACAAGGCAACAAGATGGACCATAATTCATGTACCACATTGCTCACTTGAATCAGGCAGTCTCAATGTAAACCTCCAGACCTTTCTGATGGACGAAGAACGTGTTCCAGATAGTCAATTTCTTCTCGGGATCCACGAGTCGGAACTAACGGCCCAATGTTTCGGTCAGCAAGCTCACCAAGCCCAAGGCAAATTATAGACGAGCGGATGGGCAGAGGAAGACAGACAACAACCCACCTTGAAGCGCTTCAAAAGAAGCGGCACCAACTTGTGCACTTCCAGCAAACTGATGTTCTTCCCGATGCAGGTCCTCTTGCCGCTCCCAAAGGCCATGAAACATCTCTCCATCTCACCCTTTTCCTCCTCGTCGGCCTCCAGCCAGCGCTCAGGACGATACTCGTCTACTGAGTACCGACGGCCGTAGACCCGCTTGTCCCTGTGGATGACAGCTGGATTGCACCCGACAATGGTGCCTTCGGGGAAGAAGTGGCCGCAGAGAGTGACTCCGCCTTCGGGGACTATTCGCTCCAGAATGAGGCCGACCGGCGTGTGGAGACGTAGTGCTTCTTTGATAACGGCACCTAGATATGGCAGACTACTTGTCTCCCGCCATTGCGGAAGGGGCGACAAGTAGACCGAATCGAGTTCAGTCATCAGCCTCACCATCGCAGAGGGATTGAGGAGCAGAAAATCTGTTTGCAGGTCCGGACATCAGCATTCGTTGCCATATTGTTCCCACGGTTGCCGAAACAGGGAAAAAAAAAAACCTACGAAAGATTGCTCGTAGAGTGATTGCACTCGTGTCTGATCCTGCGTTGATGTTGCTGAGTGACCAGCCCAGCAATTGTGATTGCGGGATCGAACCATGGTATTTGTCAAAGGCCGAGATGAACTTGGCCGTGAAGTCGGTCCGGTCCTTGAAGTCAAGCGGGGACTTCCCTCCGTCTACACCAAGTCGTACCCGATCTGCCTCGTCAATCCGAGGCGTCAAGAACTTCAAGACAAACCTTGACACTCCCAGCTTGTCCTTTGAGAAGGCTGATCCCCACAACCGGTTTTTCGCCAGCAGGGAATCTAGCCAGGGCATTTGCCCAACGATCGCTGTGTAAGCTCCAGACTTGTTCAGTGTCTTGATGATATTGCCGACGTCGCAGGATTGTTCAAGGAAGCCGAATCTGTTGCTGAATGTCATTTCGCCGATGACATCGAATGCGTACCACTGGAGCCATTCACCAAAGTCGCAAAGCTTTCCAGTATCGGCAAACTGGGTTGCCAATTGTTCAACTAATGTTCTCGAAGTGCTGTCCACAAACGGCTCATAATCCAGCAAGCTCGTCATGGCGTATGCATGAGCAATCGGTCGCTTTGCTGTCTTGTGTTGGTCCTCGTCGGTGATCATGAAGAGTGAGGCGACTGGTCTGCCATTGACCACAGGCTGGGCTACTCGGTAATACCCTGACTGTTGAGCCCTTTCTGTCACTCCCTAGGTTCAAAAATAAATGTGATTCTTCAGGGCTGCCACACCTTCTGGAAAAGCCTTGATATACCGTAGATCTGCCTGATCTCCCTCGAATCTCCCACACTGACACAGTTTGGCCCTACCCGCACAAGGTCACCATACTTATCATGCAGGGCTTGAGAAACCAGCTCGAATCTGCCATTGTATACGGCCAGCAAACGCCAGAGATCAGTGAAGGAGGCAACAAACGGCCCAGGGATACACCTCAAGCCGGACCTGAATCTTTGCTGTATGACGAACACACCGGCAGCGCAGAGCAAGATCAGGCCGGCCACTGGTAGCCAAGCCCACCATATAGCTAGGGCTAGACCAGCCATGTTGGGAGTGATTCGCGATAGATTCAGTCTCGGCTTCTCGACAAAAATATGCTACTGTATCGCGCACGCGATAGAGAGAGCCGAGTCATTTCCTAGCAAGACCTGCAAAAGAGAAGGGGGGAACTTGCCCGCTGCGTCAGCCATATGAGGATAATGCTTTAATTTCAAAGTCGGAAATATTCTCTCTCCGCATGGGCTCTTACCTAAACAATGTGGTGTGGGGAGAATCCAAGCAATAGAGACGGTGTTCCGGAGCCGATGGGTAGTGTGAGACGGCGATGGCCTTGCCCGTGTAAATGCCGGGATTATTTTTCGAGATTACAGAGAATCCCACGCTGTACGAACCCAGTTCTGATTAGTTAATGAATGATGTTTGTCGGCATACCCAGTACGGCCAGTCGCAGAAGATGAACCGAAACTCCCGACTGTCGATTGCCTACCTATCTGGGCCAAGCTGGGTTCACCTCACTGTGGAGGAAGTGTGGCATTATAGCACTGACATTTCCCTCGCTGTGGTAGCAGCCACATCTGACGACCAGCGGCATCGAACAACACACATCACATGGGAATGGCTAAAACTACATACCCCTTTTCATAACCCCTCCCTCATCCACCTCCAACTTCGTTCATAACTCCTCCATCCAGTTTCAACACCTCTCCATTAACATATCCGCATTTCGTGAGGAAAATAACCCCCATGGCCATCTCCTCGTCGCTCCCCGCACGCCCGGCAGGTACCTCATGCCCCTTGTCCTTGACCTTTTCAGCCGGCATGTGAGCTTTATTGCGCTCATCAGATTGTTTCATCGTCATCTCCGACGGGAAATACCCGGGGGCAATGCTATTCACGCGGACACCGGTTTTTGCAAATTCCTTCGACATCATCCGCGACAGATGCGCTGTGGCTGCTTTTGCCGCATTGTATGCAAAATGTGCTTGAGCATGGCGCATGAGGCCGGACATGCTGGAGATGACGATAACACTTGCATCAAGATTTCGAGGTGCACATTGGAGAAGAGGCAAAAAGGATACTACGGAAAAAAACACACTGATGACGTTGGTGTTGTACGTCGCTTTCCATTCCTCAACTTGTTCTTTCCACAGATTGTCCTTCATCTGCTTGGCATCGCTGGTGTCTGGATACCCCTTGGGGCCGGAAACGCCTGCAGCGGCGACGACAAGGGAGAGATATTTCTCCTTGGATTCCAGCTCGACAGTTAACTTCTCCAGGGACTCCTTGGATGTCACGTCGCAAGGCCCAATAGGAATGATTTCGCCATTGAGAAGTGTGTTGGATGACTGTGGGCTGTGCGTGCGAGCGGCATTCTCGAGGACATCCTTTCTCCGTCCGGTAATGTACACTTTGGCACCTATGGCGAATTTCGGTCAGACGAGCTGGAACACGTTATGATTCTTCATTCTAGCGGCCTACCGTTTGCTGCTAGAGCTTGGGTGGCCATCAATCCAATCCCAGTTCCTGATCAAATTGGTCAGATTCAACTTTACAACTTCCTAATCTCAACGCTGGCACTTCTTACCTCCACCCGTGACAAGGCAGACATGGCCTTGAAGGGAGAAGAGGTTGGAGATATGCAATTGTTCAGTCGACGCCATCGAAGAGACTCTCAAGTAAGAATGTGGGTGTCAAGTGGGAAAATATTTTGAAATGTCGCTGAGCAGCTGAAATCCTCTGTAGAAAAAGGGTTGAAGTTGGCCTGCCTGGCTCACAAGAGAACATGGCGAGTTGGATGGCTAAGAGGCCACCTCGTCACCGTGTCCGATATCAATGACGAGCTGTGACGTCACTCGACCCTTGCCAGTCCCCCAGCCAATCACAGCCGTTCTGTGGTGCTTCCCCCTTTTGCCCCTATTGCCCCCCATCGCACTTTCAGCCTCGCGAAAAGAGAGTCGGCCCAGGGGTATTGCGCAGCTGCAACTGTAGCTCGTAAAGTGATTTATTGGCGTCTACACAATCTTCGTAACGTGAGCGAGTCGAGTGGCTCGTGAATTTGTTGAACATGTCGGAAATACTGTTGGCGAGCAGCTATATCTGATCTTTTGATAGTATATTGATCGGAGCTGCCGCTGGAAAACCACTGCCAAAGCCCTCATGCTGAGGCATTCAATGGGTACAAATGGATCAAAGATCCGCTCGAAGACTCCAATGCAATGGTTGAACTGATCCAGGCGGCGAAGGCACAGTGCAGGAAAGCCGGACTTCGGAAGACGAAAGAAGCCAGCTTGAACCATTTTGAGATCTCCCAGTAGGCGCTGGCTTTACGATCAGGTCTCGTATTGCTTCGGATCGATGTCGAATCTCAAGGCGCACTTATCCACACATTCAACAGTAGAGCTATGTGGCGTCGTTTCAGTGACGCCTGGTGAACTACTTGACGTTATCCTGTTGCGCCATAAGTCCACGCACCCGCTTTTGGTAGCTTTTGTGGGCTTGGATGGGCATGGTCCATTTTCCATACACGTTCGACAGTATCGCATTCTCCAGCTCTATAGAAAGGAGTTGCCCGAATGCTGTCGTGGAAAGATATCAATCGTGCGCAAGAAGCGTGTGAACTGCCATAGCAAAGCCAGGGCAACTTGACGCTGACTCAGCCCTCAAACGCCAGATTCGAAAGATCAAAACTGAGCTAAACCCCCAAGCAGATTCTGGTGTCTTAGCCCATAGAGCAGCATGGAGGTAAACGATAGAAATTTGGACAGAACTGCGCCAGGCGGCCCGTAGCAACAGATCTATTCACGATGCCCGATCCCGATATCTGCAAAGCTGCATAAGCCCAATCATGACCAATTTATCAATGTCTAATTCGCAGCAGATCCTTGCATTTGAATTGCCCTTTCCTCGTACAACTCGCTTTCGCAGTTGGACGGGTATGTAAATACCAAAGCTCTCACTTCGATGCTTTGTCTAGGAATGAATAAGGGAGGGATCGCAGGGTCCTAGAATGACGCATGGGATGTACCTATTTATCGTTAAGGGGAACAAACCAGTTGCAAGAGGTCAAAATCCCAAGGCAATTATACATCTAACTGCTATCGTCTCTGCGGAATCGAAATTCTTGAATATCAAAACCTCGTCCTTGGTCTGTCGGCTCATATGGAAGAATTCCTGCCGTTCATTGTGCTGCAAGTATATTGTCGAACCTGTGTAATGCCGTCTGACATGATCGGCCTCCACCAGATCTGATGGAAGTACGGTACCGCCATCGAGCATGGCTAGAGGATAGTCTCTAACGCAGTCGACGATCGGGCGCCACAAGCTGGAAGGTGGAATGTCAATTGCTCAGCAGCCTAAACAAGGGTGGAGTTGTCCCCTTACTTGACGACACGAATGCGACTCTGTAGTAGATATTCAGCGTCCGAAGGAAGCTGAATTAGGATCTGTCGCATCACGGCCAGAGGACTCCGGTCTGTTTGTTCGACGTCAGATTGACCTACTTGAAAGGAACAATGTCGCACACGCCAACATGCACATGCAACGCTGGTCGTAGCCATGTGGTTGAGTCATTAAGGTCGATGACAGTGCCTTCGATTTCGGGGGCGTTCCTCCGTAGCTAGAAGCTGTCAGTGTCCGGTGGCTTTCACGTTTCCACAAAGAACAGACCCTGCAGTCACAGAAGAAGACGCGGTCAACATCCTCCACTTCAGCTTTGAGCAAGGCCTCCAACTCTGGGAGATACGGCTCTTCAACCTTCTTGCGATCTGCGATATGAGTTGGGTCAATTTTTTACAGGCGATACATGAAGCCCTGCTTGTTCGGTGAAAAGTAATGGGGCGGAAAGTTTCGAACATCCTGGCTATGGACCTCGACGTTATGGAAAGCAAGGTTGGTCGTGCGTTGATCCTAGGCATCTTCTGGAACACTAATGAAGCCCTGGAAAGGCTTCTCGGTCTCATAAAGTGGTAGCCACTTTAAAAAGTTGAGACGCACAATGACAGCGCCCTCGTTGTGCGACATTGTGTTGGTATGTACTGGGTAGAAGTAACGACCTCCGCATGGTCCAAAAGGTGGAAGTGTGCCTTGGCCCTTGGCTCTGTCCTCTTGAGATGCCTCGCGGAGAGCACCAAGATTCCTGTTATTAAGCAGCCAAGCTGCTCCCTTGTGTATTGAAGGGACACGAAGGATCATCCATCCCACCAAGTCTGCGTCGAGCATCAAAGCTTGGCCAATGCTCTCTCCAAAGGTCACCTTCCGCGGTTGTTTGCATGTGTCGAGGTCGGCGGCAAGTAGGGCTTTCCTGACCCACAAAGGGAACGGCGAGGTCTCGCGGTTCCAGGAGCTTGCAGCGAGTTCGGAGGACTCGCTCGAGGGTGAACTGGTTCGCGTTAGTGTATCGTCTGGGGTAGTGTCGTGAACCTTTGTCACTTTTCCGTATGGGCGGCCGATGTTGACGTACCTACCAGGGATAGCTGATGGGGATGACAGACACAATGGGAGATTCGCACTCGTGCTGCGGTGTCTTTCAACCGAAATGTGCAATGGCTGCACTGATAGGTATCGAGGTAATAATATGGACAAGGTAGGCCCAAACGAGGGAGGTGGTGACCCAAGTTGGAGAAAGCGCTTGGGGCTGGGCAAGGAGGCCAACTTGGGCTGGTGGGCCAGAGGCGTGAGGCCACTAGGCCTCACTAGAAACTACATAGGCGCAAGTGCCACCAGATCGTAACCCCGCCTTGTCCTCCCCCACCCCCCCTTCGGCTCCATGGCCTCACTTGGCTTTCATTTCCCGGTACTGGCTGGATACCTGCCGTTACTTGTCACCGGTAACTACTTCGCTTAGGTCACTGGAGACTGAGATCCCTCTGAGCGGTGAGCTGGAGTACTGTTTCTCAGAAGCTGATTATTTCCAATTTTCCCCTTCTATCCTTAAAACGCCGTCACTGCTACCAATGAACCTCCCCACGAGCCGCTGCACAGATTGCAAAGAGGCTGTACAATAACCCGAGTCATATCTCTCTCGAATGACGGGTCCTGCGACTTCAGCTTCTGCGCACCATAGCCTTCCTCTCGCTTCACTTCTTGGTACAGACAAGCACGGACCACGTTGCTGTAATCTTGACACTCCTGGTCGACCACGAAGCCAGTGTCTAGGAGGTGGCGAGCAGTTAAGAAATCTTGTACATCACGGTCTGTTCTTGCTGGGCCACTCGGTTCCTGCAGACCCGCAAGACGCTTGCCAGAGGCCAGTTCTATCAATGCTTAGCCTAGGCGAGCGATGCTCAGGCAAAATATGCTGAGAGAATGAGGTGCCATTTTTCCGCTGGGCGCACTTATTATATCAGAACCTCCGAGGGATTGGAACTGTTTCGTAATGAACAGAGTGCCGTCAACTAGACCTTGTTGTTGATTTGTGATTATTGAAAAGTCATTCCGCGTCCAAGTTGCGTCGATCCAAGGAGTCTGAAGGAGTTGAGTAACGCCCCATGCCAATTGAAGGGCCAGGCTGATCCGATGCCGATGTGCTAGTTTGATGTGATCTCCAGAAAACAAATCTTCCAGCGACAGAATGCACCGTGAGCCTCCCTCGACTATGGGCTTTGGAGACTGAAGCTCATATCCAACGTCATCAGTCGCTCGCAAGTACCCTAGGCTCTGCCTTTTGAGGAGAATATCTGATTCTTGCTCAAGCGAACGAATGGACGAACACGTGTCCACTATCTCATCACCTCTCCCTACTTCACATTTTGTCACCGACACAGAATAGCGTTTTGGACTGAACACCAGTGTAACAGAGCTGGTGAGAGAGTTGTTGCTCCGCACCCATGACAGCGGATAGTCTCCTTGAGAATGCTCGTGGTCGGTGTTTGCAATTTTAATGAAGCGACTGATGTCTCGCCTGAAAAAGATACGTGGCTAACTGAAATTGACTGAGCGCTGTCGTACTTGACTGAGGAGGCGTCCTCGACGGAAAACAAAAGTTGCAGTGACGGCCTTCGAGCCAGACCATTTGGATGTTCTAGGTGCCTAATCAGGGGAAGTGGCAACCTCGTAGGGTGGGCACGCATCGAAAATGACTTTCGACTGCCCGGAAGACGCCTGTGGCAAAGGCCACGCATGAGGCAATCGTCAGTCTAGGCAATGGCAATTAGCCTTGCGGGTATTTGCGCTCTGGAGAGGAATCGATAACCCGACGTAACCTCTCATTACGATGATGAATCCTCCTCACGCGCCTCTTGAGTCCCGAGCTGTCTAAACTCGACCTGAGCGCGGTGACTTAGCCTTGACGATAGCCCTCATGTCGACCTATTGTTGCTAGCTTTGGGAAGATCTGGCTCCTAGGCCCTTCACCAGACTCACAGGAACTGGATGTATCCTCTCCAAGTATTGGTGAATGTGTTACAACTCTTCATGGATGTCGATTAGAGTTGCGGCGACTGACTTGGTGGCTTCACTGTCATGCAAGCCATCAGGCTCGTCAGAAACCCGTCATTCACCCATAGACCGAAACCTCGGAATTCTTGTCCAAGATGCCTTGTAGATCAGTCCCTGAAAGTTGGGAGACGCAGAGATGTTGAATCCAGTTACAGAAGATGAACTTTCTCGGCGCGAACCTCCTCCAGCAGATCGTGAATGATTTCTCCGGATCTCGCTCTTCTGCAGTAGTCGACCGCATCAACGATGACCGGATACAGCCCTAAATCAGCCCGACCACTTCGAAGCCAGACATTTTCTTTGGAAAGGATACATTCGTACATTAACTTGCTGCTCCAGCAAAAGGGGACGCTTCAGCCGTGAAAAGGCGTGAAAAGATGAGGTGCGGCTGAGCGTCGACAACAAGTTGCACTCCGGCATGGTCTCGCCCTTTTTTCCCACCCTCAGTTCAACCCCTCACGCCACGACTCCGCCAAACCATCCCCCCTATGCTGAAGCTAATCATCCGCAGGTAAAGCTGCCCTGCAACTAACATGGGTTTGCGATAAGGGTGGGCAGGTTTAGGCCTGGGCTAGACTTTGTGATACCATGCTGGCAACAACAGCTCGACAGCTTCGGAAGTGTTGGACCTGCCAACGACCTGCTCAGAGAAACCCACTATCCAGACTCGTTGGACCATCAAAGGAGTGAATAACTTTAGCCATCTTCCATCATCAAAGCAATACATTTATCTGTGTCAAACAATGGGCCCCTCAATACGCCATCCTCAGAAGGAGCTTGGAGGTTACCATCAACATGCACAGATACCTGCAGCGTACGAAGATTGCCGGCAGATATTCGACCAGATCTCTTCGGTGACGGAGGCAAATCGTCAAGTATGGGAGGGCAATGTCGATTTCCTCGAGAGCTTCAAAAACAGCCTGGCACATTGGGCCAACGTCCACCACGCCGAAAATGGCTCGCTAGACCATGCTCTGAGTAAGAGCTCAGATCTAGGGATCGAGTTGTTGATCTCCTCGAGAACCTAAACCACAAGCTGCAGAATGGCAAGCACCTTGATATTCATCAGTCTAGACTTAGCATAATACTCTTCGATAAGTGAAGGGGCTTCGATTTCCCTAGGCTGTGAGCCTTCAACTGACATATGCCATCCGTCCAGTCTTGGAGGACCTCCAGATCACCGCCACACCTTTACTCAGCCCCGCCCTCCTCGAGAATAATTGGTCCTCCTACTTCGGCCGGCAAAGTGACCTCAGGATAGTTTCCAGATTGCCAGTCTCAGACGAGGTGCTGAAAGAGAGACTTCCTCCGATTTCACCTTGGAATCGCTACAAGGGTCTTAATGCAACGCAGAAACTTCCATTCCCTTCTGATATGTTCTCCAGTGACGTCCTACTTGGCGATGACAAGGCTGAGATTCGACTGGCTGCCCGTTTGTTTCCGAAAGCTCCCGAACAGCTGGGGCAGAGGCTTGGACACGCAAATTGGCTACGCAAATGCTTTTTGAGGAGTCTGAGAGCTGGCAAATATCCTGGAAGTCGAGCTAGGACGGATACCACACTTCCACAGTCTGGCAGGACGCAGAATGGACTTGTCGAAACTCTTGATAGCCCTTGAGGTAAAGATGGACGGTTGCTACCGGCATTCATGCTTAGACGACCATAGGGCAGCATTGAGCCGACTAGCATCATCTATGGTGGCGAGTGGTACCGCTTCAAACAGTGGCACGGTGTTTTCAAAAGCTGATTCGGGATATAGTACAAATGTCACTACTTCAGTGACCGAGTTCGATGAGGGCCTTCGACCGGTAGCAATTCCAATCCCTCCCCGCCAACTCCACTGAACGAAGGTCGAAGTTTCTTGTGCCCATATTGTGCATTGCCAATAACTGTTAGTGGGCCTAATTCAGGGGCAGATCAAAGCCATGCATCCGAGGTTTCTGCAACCAGTCAGCCATTCACTCCAGGACATTCTTCTTATCCGGAGCATCAAAAGTTGGAAGAGCCTACGGCCATGGATGTCTCTTCTCTCGAGGACTGGATTGCACATTTCTTGGCCGACCTGGAGCCTGATGTGCGCACATTTCATCAGTGCCTACAAGGCACAAAGACTTATGCAACTCAGGACGCTAAGGTACATCACGAGCTTTAGACAGAATTACATCCAATACGCTTGCTCATGCGAGATGTGTTCCGAGGAATGGCTGGACGAGAGAGCCTTTGGCGAGCATCTCGCGTTGACTCACAATATACCGAAGGAAGGTATCTCAACTACGTCGCAGCTATGTGTAAAGCCCTCAGGCATGACCCCAAGTTAGATGCAGTGCCCACTTTGTCTGTTCGATTGTTCTTTTGAATCATATTACAAACATTTAGGTGACCATCTGCAACAACTTGCTCTTACCTCAGTTGAGGCCGACATGCTTGAGATATCAGGCAATGTCTCCGTTTCTATGTATGATGGAGATAAATTCACACTTCTGGAGGATTTCATCCAGGAGCAGTCTCAGGAGTCACCTCCTCAACAAAAACAACAGGGAGATTCATTGGCCACTCAACTTCAAGGTCTCTGGACAGAGCAATCGAATTGGGCACCTGGAGATGGGTCAACTTCAAAAGCCTGTGCAACCCGGCCCCAGAGTTCAAGGGGCCCTTCCTATACCTACATGCGGAGGGTTCGAGAGCTCGAGGTCGAAGAAGCAACGAAAAGCGCGGTCACCCCTCCACTTGCGCAATGGAATAGTGTTAAACCGACCGTGTCAGCTCGCTCAGCTCAGGCAACGATCAGCAAACTCCAACCGCCCTGGATCCCTGACTTCGTTGGGCAAATCGTCGATCTCGGAATAATTGACGATAGAATGAAAGAGGAAAGCCATATCACTGTGATCCGTGGGCCTGGGGGCACCGGGAAATCTGCCTGTCACGAGCCCACCGTTGTCCCCAAGTACTCTACGCCCTCCACCCGAATCGGGTGGACAGTATAGAAAGAAAAGGATAAGGCAAAGGATGGTTGAAGCACAAGGCTATCGGTTAACGCTGCCTTACCCTTTTCACGTGACAGAAAGAGGGGAAGCTATAAGAGTCTCCTCTCACCCGAACCGGCTGAGAGAGAACTCTTCCTTTTTCTCAAGCGTTGAGTCGTTGTCAATAGGACTACGTGAATAGAACAAGGCATTCAGCTACTCCAATTTCTTTGTACCTACTGCGTTGCGTAGGTCCCTGATACTGCCATTGCTACAGCTTACACGTGGAAATTTAAGAGCTACTACTCTTACATATTTTGGGTCCTGCAGAGACGGCCATGGTTTGTGCCGACTCTTTCTGCCGGATTGCTTTGAAAGTGATAGCAAATGCTGATGCGGTCGCAGAGGAGGAACGACTGGTCAACATTGGGCGTGAATTCCTTGTACGAACAACCGGGCGGTGGCTTCCTGTGTTTCACAATGTGGACGACGGATTTGATCTTCGCCGGTACCTCCCATCAGACATGTCGAAGACACACGGTTCAGTTCTCATCACTGCACAAAAGACGGACCTTGACGTGTCACGATTGTCCGACAGACTTCTGCCATTGACTTGAATACCCTCATCCTAGAAGAGAGCCGTGAGCTGCTTCTCAAATCAGCCAATCGAGGCGAGCCCGTCGAAGATATGAGATCGCATCCAGAGTGCAAGTTAGCAGGAGACATAGATAAAAGAGCAGAGAAACTCCCACTGGCTTTGTCGCTCATCGCTAGATTCGTTCTGGCTTCAGAATGCACACTGGCATACTTCATGGAGCACTGAGGAATGAAAGACGATATCGTGAGACGCACGAGATTCCTCCTCTGACGCCAATGGCGCTATGGAGGTGGTGTTGAATATTGGCTTGAGAGAGGTCGAAACGGAGGCATGCCAACTTCTCAACATCCTAGCATTCTTTGACAACGATAATATTCACATGGATTTGTTGGTGGGACCACATGAGGATCCGTTGCTTGAGATGCTACATTTATACTCACCTATGCGGTAAGCAATTCCAGCTAGTGTTTTCAAAGTCTAACCAAGGCAGATGGAACCGGATGACGAGCAATCTATCGAAAAGGCGTCTTATCACAGTGCGAAATCACGATGGCGAAGAAGTCTTGACCATTCACCGCAAGTTGCAGGCGAAGGTCCTAGAGGAGCTCAATCAACTCGATAATGCGGCAGAACGAACCAAAGTCTTCGAAAGAGGTTTCTTGCTTATTCGAGGGGAGTTCGCTCGTCCTTCGCCAATTCGGGTTCCTGAGCCGGAGAAATGGCCCATTTGCAGGTAATATCTGCCCCAGGTTCTGAGTATAAAACGATTGTGGCAGTCGAGGATTGTCGAGATTCCACCTTCAGTCAAGCTGGCCCGGCTTATTTCTGACGCCGGTATTGACCTGTGGGAAAGATACCTGACAGTCGAATGGCTGGAGCTTCTCATATCAGCAGAAGCTCTCCTCGATCAAGGCGGGTTCCGGCAAGATCTTCTCTGTGCCAACATTCATGTTGTGGTCTCGCTCCTACTCCAAGACTCACGGATAGCACATCTGGCCGAATGTAGAGAACGCAACACTTAGGTGCTCGACACCCAGGTCAAACATCGCGAGAATTGCGATCCAGCTGACTACACGAAAAACGATGATATATTGCTTCACAACACGTGTTAAGACTATGCTTGTGTCCTTTTGCAATACAGCTAGTTCAAAGAAGCAGCGCGCATCTTTGACATGTGCTTCGAGAAATATCAGCGATGGGGACCTCCAGAAGAGATTCCATATGAGTATGCCAAGTATTACCATCACAAAGCCTACTGCCTTATGTACGAAGGAAACTTTGAACAAGCCGTTCTCATGGCCGAGCATGGATTTTATTGGGTGCAAGTTGCCACCGGACAACCAGCCGGATCCAATAGATGGCGCTGCGACCTCGCCTGTCTGGTCCTGCAAAGTGGTGATAAAGAGCATGCTCTGAAGCTGCACAAGGAGGTACTAACAAGTAGAGGCCAGGGTAAGGTCGCATGGAAAGTTCGGGCTGCTGATTTTCCGAAGCTATTACGCGGTTGGGGCAGCTCATAAGGGGTTGAATGAATTGAGCGAGGTGGAGTAAGTGCATGTTTTCTACAAGGTTTCCGAAAGGTTTTAATCGGCCACAGACTATATATGAGAAAAATTCTCGACATCGACCAGGCCCACCCAGGTATATGCACGAAGGCAGCTCTGGCGCAAGTTCAATTCAATCTTTCGCAGATACTTGCGGCTCGAGCAGAAGATTCTGGTGTGAGACAAGCCAAGCTTTCTGCACGTCTCCAGGAGTCAGCCATCCTGGCACATCCTCTTGGGCCTTTAGAAACAGACACAGGCCAAGGCCAAGATGGACTGCTCACATCGAGTCTGAATAGAATACCCGAGGACCACGAGTTAGTATTATTCGACCACCTTCAGCCCGTTTTTGAGGGGTGGTTTACAGGACCACATCTGCCGAAATACCTTCAGTATTAGGTTAAGGGATACCTACGTAGTGTCGCCCGCAAGTTGCTGTAAGGTAGTCGTTTGGGAATTATGATCATTGATGGTTTGTAATGGAAGTCTGGAAGACTAGACTGTAATTGTAGGCTCTGGATAGAGCAACCCAAGGAGATTTGTTTCTGCAGAAAACGTTGAACTTGAAGTTTAGTCTCAGTGCTGTAAATTTGCGATGCTTTATCCAGGCTTCTCTCATATATTTATAGTAACTTCAGTAGTTAGCAGTTAATTTAGACATACATATATGCTGTGCCCAAAAGCTGTTGAGGCAAATGGCCAATATAGTCAAGTCAACCAAGTGGAAACGGCAGTGCACACGGCAGGTGGTGCTCACTGTGGCACTCAAAAGTGTATATAGGAGGCGTTCTTAGATCACCTTGTAGATGAAACAGATACAGCCAGGCTGCCTATTTTGTGTGCCTACGGAGGTAGGTTTAGGAATGGCTTTCTCGATACAGACTGAATGTCTACCTAAATGGGAAACATCTCGCTCAAAAAGATAGAGGGACAGACACCGTGGATCAGGCAAAGTACCTCATACAGTACATGACTGCCATTTACGTAGACAACTCGACATTTTTTAGTCCCAACATATTCTCACCATTGCAAAAAAAAGGAGTTAAAAAGAATTTCCCGCTCCAATTGTCTTTTTTTTTTTTTTTTTTTTTTTTTTTCCAACGCTGTTGAGCAACTCTTTCTAGCCTGCTTATTTCAGTTGTTAGCAGCTATCTCACCTATGAGTCTTGAGGAAAAGTCTTCTCAATAAGAGACAGGAACATTGTTAGTTTCATCAACGTGGCATGAAGAAATAGCCCTGAACATTAGACTCCCTTTCTTCCCGCGGGAAGGCCCCTTATATAGTGCCGAATTTGTCCGCTCGTGCTGATGCTACTTCACGTGACTTCATGCTATTTGCCTATCGGCTGGAGTCATATGTCCCTTGTCCATAGCAAGCTCCGTCTACTGTCTCCACTGAGACATTTTTGGCAGCAACACCATCTGCCCCGAATCGCAACACATAGCCCTTTGTATAGTCCTGCCAGCCCTTCTGCTTTGGTCTGTTATGTGGATCCTTCATGAATGCCAGGAGGTAGTCCTGCATGACTTCGCTTGTGCGTGCTTCAAATTCAGTCCCCTTCCCATAGTCATCGTACGTCCCGAAGAAGAACGGGAGATCATCTGTGTGGTAAGCTCCCAGCCATGGCAGAGGAGAGAGGTTGGAGAAGTTCCCTGCAAACTCGTACCGGTATGTAAGTAAGCCCGCTTCGGTCCGCAGTTTCGAAGAATTGTGAGCAGGACAAACGAAGTATCCCAGCGTCGCTTCATCCGCCAGTGTTTGGTTGGGTCCTGCCGTAAGGTTGATGTATGGAACAAGAACAGTTCCTTCGTCAGACGCGGTCCCCACGATCGCTGGCGCGTTAGCTATCAGACCTCTAGCGTATCGTTCAGTATAGTTGGAAAAGATGACTTTGTCATCAGGAATCGGTACGAATGAAAGGGCTGGCGTAGTCGCGTTATCTGAGCGACGGCCCACAAAGTTGACAATCGTTTCGACCGGTTTTTTACGCATGCAGTCAAGCTCAGCAGTCGCAGTAAGACCTCCGCAGCCTAAGTGAGACGCGACAAATGTAAAATTTGTGTGGGCAAAGTCATACGACAGTAGCCCTAGCAATGCCGTTCCAGATCCCATCTTCGAAGTTTTGAGATTAGCTTCTGCCTTTCAAACACGATAGATTTTACACAGACGCCTTAAGGTCCGTTGAAAACCTTGATGAAAATTTTGAACCAGGAGGACTCACGACAAGCCCCTTCGCAATTGAGTTGTTGTAATAGGCGAAGCCGTGAAAATCGGTCGACGATGCTCCTGCCGATTGCCCCTGTATCTGTAAGAAACGCACCTCTGCACTCATGTCGTTCTACACACCCAAATAGTAATCTTTGATGGATGTCCTCCAAAGGCTCGGATGTTGTCTCGGACCCATTCGTGTCTAACGCTGTCAGTACCCATCGGTCATACAACAATCAACACCATACGCCATGCGCTGGTCAAGAATTCCAAGATTCTGCGAATTCAAACCGCGCGCGTTGGGAAATCCCATGATTCCGAGGCGGTAACTGAGGAAACATCAGCAAGGATGCCTCTGCAACAGAAGAGACACAGACTTGATCGACACAACAATATGAGACTGGGATCTCTGCACCCATTGATGCGGTAGTTGATATGGAATATTGATGCCACCGATGATGAAGCCGCCTCACAGATGTTAGCGCGCCCACTTAGGTAAGGTATGGTTCTGTAGCATTACCCCCAGTCATAAAGATAATCACTGGTAAGTCGGAAACATTACTTGTAGGGGTCCAGATCGACAGGGACAGACAGTCTTCTCCTGTTGTCGGAGGCATGGTGGCGGGGGCCTCAGTGTCAAGTCCTGTAGGAATGAGATAACCGGAAAGCAACTGATTGTATACATTGGGAACACCCGAGAGGTACTGCGGACAGAAGCGGGGGAAGGTAGTAGCATCAATTATCGCGGATGCATTCGAGGTAAGCTGCACCGGAGGTGCCCAGCGACGAGAGCCAACAGGAGGGAGAGCGTATGGCACATTCAGAAACTGACGGACATTGGGGACCGTGCCATTAATAATACCAATGTAGGTCCCTGTACTTGTCGTAACCTTGAGGTTGTTCGGGGTGGACGTCTGTGCGCTGGCAAATACAGCTGTAAGGAGTAGATACGAACTGAGATTGATCAAACTGAGATACATTTTGTCGGACCTTCGACGCGGAAGAAGCTGTCAACTGTGTCGTGTGTCGTTCGAGAGAGGAGGCTGGACTCGTCGAAGCGAGACTTTATATGTTGACAACCTCGTGTCGAATGGAGTTAAACTTGCAGGAGGATCCAACAACTTCCTCGTATTCTCTTCCACTTTGGCTAGCGAGATGAAGTGGCTCGTGGGGCAGGTCCTCAGGGTTTAGTCCATTGACTTGCTCTGAAAAATGACCAAGACGTAGGTCGCTTAGGATCTTTCGGCACGGGAAGGCCCAAAATGGGCTATTTGCGTCACGTTTTAAAGTTGACGAAAGAGGTAACATCCTGATGGTAGCGTCGCCCTGGCTGGGCATAAAAGGTGAGCAACGGGGTGTCACGGCGCATAATAAGAGCACCAGGGGAGTGTCGGGATTTCTTGACACCTTTTTGGTCAAGCGATACAAGGTAGTCAAGTTGTACTCAAACATAGCCAAATTGAAATGTTTTAACTTGAAGTTATGCATATAAATGCTGAATAAATTACTCAACCATTCCTGCCCGCCTAGAGAACAGGGCGGCATCGCTCTTGTCTCCAAGGATGCGCTTGCTATTAATCTGCCTCATTTTGGCGGCAGGTTGAAGTCACAAGGCGATGGAACACGAGAGACAGCAAGTAGCAATTTCAAGAACTTGTACATAATACGGCGAATCTGACATGAGAAATTAGGTCTTGAGTGGCAATGGACCCCTTTAAAGGAGAGAGAAAAAAAAGTATAGGAACTTCTTAGATGAACACACACAAAGGAATATCGCCTAAAGAGGACATCGACACGAGCAGGTTCTGCATTCTCGCATGATTCCTGCTTGCACCTGGTACTTGCTACCGTGCTACCAGCCCCTTTATTGTAACGGAGCACTTCAGGGTTCGGCGTGCACGTGCAACAACGCACAGAGGCCTGTCCAGCAGATCGGGAATCGAGAACGCGTTCTGGTTGATACTGACAAGACAACACCACCACCAACACCACCCCCAGAGAGGTAGCGGCTAGGGCAGCGAGCGCCTAGCACGGCGACGGCATTGAGAAGTAGGAAAGCGCCGATGAAAGCCTCAGGAATAGATAGACAACATCAAAAATATAGAATACTCTTGTCAAACTGTAAAGAATGGCAACCTGCCAGCGCTATAAACTGTCCTGCTCCCAGCTCTCTAATTAGGTTTGACATGTGACGTGACAGACCTCTGCACTGCCAGTTCACTAACACCCCAGCACTGCACAGCCACCTTGCCTTGTTACATTATAGATTTGGACCTTGTCGAGCAAAACCATACAAGTAGCAGGTGCTTCGCAATGCACGTGGATCGCCAGCAAAAGATGCGAACTCGATCACTACCTTGCTGCACCGTAAGTCGAATTTGCCGTTGCGCCACTGTTGCAGCGGTCTCACTGAAGCAACGACGCTGACATCCGCCACTTCTCCAACACCCAGGTCCACGGGCCGGAATCCGAGAAGCAGTCGAGATGGGAAATTGGGCAAGTTTGGGCATCCATAGACTTGGGCGACGTATCTTCCCGGGCGTTCTCCAGTGTTCCTGATCGTTGCATGTACATTAAAGAAGTCTTTACCGGAGGCAGCGTCAAATTCATCCAGACGCATTTTGGAGGTTGAGAAAGTTGTATATGACAACCCGAAACCAAGGGGATACGCAGGTTGAACGCCGAGCTTGTCCAGCAGAGCCTGACCGAACCACCGATCGTACTTAATCTCTGTAGCATCAGCATCAAAGTACGGTAAATGTGACTCGTCTTTGGGGATTGAGAAAGGCAATCTGCCACTGGCGGGAACCCGACCGGTGAGAACGTCCAGCAAGCCATGGCCCCCTTGACAGCCGGCATACCAGCTCACAAGTAAGGCTGGGACTTGATCTTTCCATTCTTCCATGATCACAGCACCCCCGCAGACAATGGCGACGATTGTACGTGGATTGATTTGCGTAACAGCACTTATCATTTGAACGTCATCAGCGTGAAGCCGGAGACTCTGCCTGTCACCACCGCCTCCAGTCTTCCAAGCATCTTCGGATTTGTCCTTTTCTCTGGGTCCGGCGTTATCGAGGAAACTGACGACTTCCTTTTCTTTCTCTGTCACCGCTGGGGGAAATGTTGCACGCAGAGCTGGATCTTTCATCAGCGCAGGAGCTGCATATTCACCTTCGTCTTCATGAGT